AAACAAACTTGTTTTTATGACACCATCGTAAGGAAATTGTCTCGAACATAGAAAAACACCACAACTCAAAAGGTAGGTAAATATACAGTATCTATCCATGGTTAACTATCAGTCCAGAGCAAAGCAACACTCTCTTATGGGGTAGGCTGCTACATCTCGTTAGGAGGAAGCTGCATAAAATGATAAATAAATGTTAATGGTATCATATTCTCTTATAGCAAGTTATAGATTATAAGGTAAACTAACATACATACATTTGTGAAATCAAGAGCATGTGCCTAACCATAACGTCTTAGTCGAGGGCATGCAATTGTACAACGGATCACACCCAGTGTATGGGTACCAACCTATTTACTGTTGGAAAATGTCTCCATGATCCAAATATACAAAATTAATACTACTAGAAAAAGTCTGAATGACTACAAAAATTTGTTATGGAGAATCTGTAGTTATTTTACAAAGGAATATGCTATGGAATGGCTAGGCATAACAATTTTACTACAAAGTTGCATTCCAAAGCTAATAGTTAAATAACTACAGAATTTTGTCACATAATGAAAAGTTATAGGTAGATTGTAACGAAATTTGCTGCAAAATCATAATTCGTAGCTATTTCACTACAAAACTTACTACGTTTAAAAGTCCGTAGCGATTTTGCTACATAATTTCCTATGGAATCATAATCAATATCTATTTCGCAACAAAATTGATGTAGTTATCTTGCTACGAATTTGCTACATAATCAAAATCCATAACTATTTTGCTATGAACGTTTTCTACAGATCAAAATTTGTTGCTATTTTGCTATAAAATTAGCTACGAAATTAAAATATGTAGCTATTTTGCTACCGTCTGTGCTACGGAATCAAAGTTTGTAGCTACCTTGCAACAATATTTTCTACGGAATCAAACTGTAGGTATTTGCTATTGGATATAAACCCACAATTATTATTCTACAAAATGGCCAATAAAATTCTAAGTGTTTGGAGGCATCGTAAGCAAAGTTTAGACTTATTAAACGACCACGGATGGTGGATGGCCCACGAGTGGTTGGATGACATGAACCCGACTAACCCGAATGACGTATTCGAAACAACTATCGTTTCTAGGTAAAAAAGAAAGAAAAAAACTGAATTCAAAATTTTTTGATTGATCAAACATGGAGAGAGAGAGAGAGAGAGAGAGAGAGAGAGAGAGAGAGAGAGAAGGTGTGGCGGAATCTAACCGTGTGCGACCAAACCATATTGAAGACCATAGGGTGGGGGCGGTGTTCCCTACTACCACCATGTAAAAAAAATTAAGGGAAAATCGTGCCCACACCCCTAGCCTTAGGAACAAAAAAAAAACATCTTCGTCGATCACATATTAAAAATCAAGATTTCTTTGAGCTGGTTTTTTCGTGTGTATCCGATGGCTACTAGGTCGAATCAACGTACCATAAAAAAAACTTTATAAATTTGGGGTCTTTCTTAACATAAATCCATTTCCAACCCAATTAACTGTACCAATTATTTTACCCGATTGGTATTCTTTTACTCGATTTACCTAGACCGCATAGAACCATACCCATAATATCCAAAACCCGAATAAGTATATCATTAAAACCAAAAAAAGAGAAACATCAATACATAGTACTTCATTAAGGATGGATATTTCAAACATTAATTTTAATGAACAACCAAAGTCTAATAATGATTATATAAATACGATACTATTCAAATGGAACAAACATGTACCCAAATTTGAGTTGAATTTAGGTTGAATTAAAAAAGAAATTATTATATACTATGATTTTTTTTCTTCAATTTATATAATATATTATAATAAATAAGTAAATAAACAAATAAAAACTAGAGTAAATTACTGAAATCGTCTCTATGGTTTGGTTAAAATTGCACATTTAGTCTCTTACTTTTCTTTAGCACTCGGATCGTCTCTGTGGTTTGATATTGTTGCATTTTTCGTCCCTATGATTTGATTTTGTTGCGTTTTTCGTCCCTTACATACATAAAGTTAGGGAACAAAGATGCAATTTTGACCAAACCACAGGAACGAAAAATGCAACAAAATCAAGCTACAGGAACGATCTGAGTGCAAAATAAAAATTAGGGACCAAATATGCAATTTTAACTAAACCACAGGGACGATTTCAATAATTTACTCTAAAAACTATTAAACCTTAACAGACGACATCTAAGATGTCAAACAACTAACAAACATAATAATGTTACAATACTCGCATAAAAACTCTTATGAAAGCCACTCGACATACCTTAAATGCATAAAGAAATCACATAGTATATGAAGGTCTACTACCGAGTCTTTAGTGGTTGGGGTTAGATGCTCTTATCTTATCAAAAACAACAGACAACTATCTATGTCAACAACTGCATTTAATAAGTACCAATTAAAAGAATCATTTGATATAATATAATAAATATAATGTAAATAACTTTATGCCTGTTAAACTCATCCAAATTAGAGACCAATGCAAGGTATTAAACACTTGAATAATGTCATCAAATTTCACTAACTCTGAGCCCAATACAAATGGAATGACACGTTGTATGAACTGTGTCGAAGATGAAGTAGCCTGAAAATACTCCCAAAATTGCAACCCGACAAAAAGGCAGAAAGCTCTCTATTCATATCAAACTCGGTAGTCACCTATAGGGAGTGGAATCTCCTCCATGTCTAACTGAGGATAAGTGACAACCTCTTTGCACATAAGGTAATGACATAGTAACATGTGACATTTTACACCCATCAATATGTTAATTTATGCACCAAATAGGAAGCCCTAAACATGGCCACACGTTCAGGGGGTGTAACGGGACATGGTTTCCCAGCTAATTTCAATTTTGCAGGTTGTGGTGACTATTGCTTTATATGTTTTATCATGCCATAATGAAAGGGATTTAAATTAGGTCACTGTTGCATGTTTATATTCTGAACACAGAGGACACAATTACGGAACAGTTCTAGACATTCCGAGATGTTCTAAGTATTTTGAAGATGTTTTATGCATTCCAGATTAGTTCAAAGTATTTCGGACTTGTTTCGGACATATTCAAAAGTAGTCTTTTTTTTTTTTGCTTTTGCTTTTAGTTGTCCTAGTACATACATATATACCCACATATAATCATACAAAAACCTACAAACAACTAAAATTCGAAAGAAACAACTTATAGCTAGACATGGCAATGGAGCTGGTTTTGACCCTAATCCGATCCTAACCCGTAAGGATTATATGGGTTTGGAGCGTAGTTTGTGATCCATTTACCGGTTAACGATCTATACTCGCTAATCTTTTTATTGAAAGGGTCAGGTATGGATCATCACCGACCCGATCTGTTTATAACTCGCACCTTATAAATTTTAGAATTATACATATATATTCATACTACTTCACGTTTACTTTTAATTCCAATCGAAAGTCCAAAGAGCAAGGGCCAAAGGAAAAACCGCTTTTACCTAGGATTTGAGAAGTCGGCTTCTAGACTTCTACCAAGAATCATCATCTCATTAAATTTATATTCATCAAGAAATCACCAATTTCATTTATAAAATCAATAAAATCATTTATTAATAGGCAAAAAGTTTGCAATTGTTATTCGCTATCATGACAATTGATAGTATTAAATTAATTGAAAGTTGTTGCAATAATGATTTGTAATTCCAATCGAAATTCCTCGAGTACGTAATGTCCTTTTCTAAATCAACTTTTGTTTTATTTAAAAAATATTATTTTTAGTATTAAGTAAAATTTGTTTGATTATTCAAAAAACTTATATGTCATGGGACGGGTTTGGTTATCTGTTGATTCAGTGGATAAGGGTATGTTTTTTATTATTCAAAACCTTATGGGTTATAAAGCGAGTTTGGATTGGATTTTGAAATTTGTTAAAATGGTTTTAATCAAGATCAGTTGGCTTCAAACCTATCCATTGTCGCATCTACTTATACATCAATTTAGACAAAAAAAAAAATCTCTTATTTTTGAACATATAATCATAAATAATAAATACAGTCACACAAAGAGTCGACACATACATATAAAACTTGAATCTCCTCAAAAGAAGACATCCTTTGAAATTGATGTAGTCAAGAACAAGGGTATACAATCTGAAATAAGGTTCGAAACACTGACTTCGGAACAAGGGGTCCGACATCATTATATATAAAGGACCACATTATCAGGTTGGACTATTTTACTCATTTACTTATTTCAGAATTTGGCTAAAAAATGGTTATTTAAAAAAAATTGTCAGATCACTCAATTTCCCTTTCAAAATTTGTTGTAAAAACTAAATACCTTAATTAGATGTCCTCAAGTATTTCCACAATAGATTGAGTTTTTATTTAAACTTTTTCATTAAAAAAACTCAAAGTACAAAAGTTCACTATATCTTTCAGGATAAGAGAATTTTTTTCATTTTATATTTTCATTTTGTTTTTTAGTAATTAGATGTTGTATAGTTTTAATTGCTTAAAAATCTATGGGTCTCATAGAAAATGAAAAAGCTATTGGTTAGAGATTGTTAATTAACAAGTTAACTCAAGACTTTTGAATTAAAAAAGCTTTTACAAGAAGATTTTTTTTGAAAAAGCATTTATTGTAGATGCTCTAAGGTCAAATAGAGATGTGAACCGGTCTGGAACCGTTCCAAATCAAACTGAAACCGAAACCGAAAGAACCAAAAACCAAATTTGGAAAATTATAGGAACCAAGAACCAGAACAAATCGAATTTTAGTAATTTCCAGTTTGGATCGGTTCTAATACGAAGTGTGCTATCTAATAAGGTGTTTGATACCAGAACCGAAAGAACCAAAAATAAAAAATAATGGATTAGGAGAACCACAAACCAGATCAAATACCACCAATCGGTTCTAACCAATTTCGGCACTAAGATCAAATACCTTCAGAGGGTGGAGACGTAACTATATTTGCTCCAACTTAGATCCCAAAATAATGTATAAAACAAATGAAGAAATTAAACACACAACAATTATAAATAAACCAAAAAATACAAATTTACATGCTCATAATAAAATCAAGTAACAATGGTCAAATGGCATTACATAATAACAACCCACAAGTTCACAAATTCATTTTATTCCCCAAAACACAAATCCCTCAACTAATCAAACACAATACCAAAACATCAAAACTAGTCCTTAAATTTTTATACTACCAAATACCAATTCACCCCCTTCAAAAATCAAAACGATCTGTTCGGGTACGAAGAACTCGAAGGTGACGACGACTTAGCTTTAGCAAAATCCACAAGATCCTTAAACAAAGCATCTTCCGGTTTCTCTTTCTTAGCTGGTGTCGAAGGGTTGACCGAAAGATTCTGTGTTTGACCAACCAACCCGTCAAAAGACGAACCCGACCCCGACCCACTGCTCGAAAGTGACCCATGCTGGTTCTGGTTGAAAAACTGCTGTCTCTGGCTCTGTTTTGCAGGCGGTGGTGGGATGGACACGGGCGGTGCACCGTATTGACCCACGGGCACGGGCGAAGGGTCCCGGGACTTAGGTTCATCGTATGACGGTTGATCAATGAACATGGTTGCGGTTGGATTTATGTAATCGTCATCAGGAAGAGGAAGGGATGATGGTTTTGGAGGAGTTGTTGATGGTCGGACTGTGGGGCCCGATGCGTTTACGGAAGACCGTTCAGAGCTGCTGTAAGCATCACCGCTAAGATAGTCAACCATCAGGCCTGAATCACCGCTAACGGGCCTCCTTGATGCGGGCGGGGGAGGGAGGAGTGGGGCGGCACGCGGTGGTGCGTTTTGGTTCCGGCCATTTCCCTGTAAAGTATCCCTTGATGACCTGAAAAAGTACAAACCGAAACTCGATAAAAGTTCATAACCTTTATCCAATGTGCCTGATACAGTATCAGGATACTGTATCAGTGTGTGCCTGATACGTGTACAGTATCAGGCACATGGAAGGTGTAATTATTTTACCGGTGTGCTAGCTGGCCAAAATCATCGTCAGACTCATCGTCCTCGTGAGTTACATTAACCAAGGGTACAACCGTACTTTCACTTGTCCTGGTGACAACAGGCTGTGTAGGGCCGCCCTGAGCAATGTCATCATGGAGACGAAGTACGCGCATTAAAGTATCATTCAATGCCAAACCTTTACCTAGAAGCTCTTCATCTCTGATGAAAAGAAAGTAAAACTTATGAATGCCAAAAACAGAAAGAATGACAGATCAGAATAGGACCACTCCCTTCCAAAAAGACTTACGATGTAGTGTTTACAAGGGTCATAACACGTTGTTGGTAAGAGCGACATTGGTCAACAAGGTCAACAATCAGTTCTTGTTTGACCCCCTGCCACAAGTAAGATAGGATTAACATAAATCATCAATAAAGATTGAAAATATTGTCCTCTTTTCCAGATTCACCATTTATGTTGGTTGATTTAAATTTGATTAAAACTGGACATAGCTTAGTTATTACCTCACGATTCTTAGGATCCAAAGCATTAAGCATATCCATCAACACATCTGCTATTCCTTCTGCATTCACAATTTCTGACAACCTGCATCAATCAATTTATTATCATCATCATGTTGTAATCATGAGAGATTTTATCAAGGTTCTGAAGTAGCATAAATTTGGAAATCATCAAGTAATACCCGAGTCCAGCAGCATCAGTCTGAAGGGATGCCTGAATGGCTGCTTCCTCATAGGGTGAAGTAGGGTGCACAATAGGGTGGCTTTGTGGTGGTGTAAACAGTGGGACACTGTTCTCTTCTTTTGGTGGAAAATCTACTCCTGCAGACTGTCAACAATTCAATAATAAAACAAAATGTTAATAACAATCTTAAAACAAAACACACAAAGATAAGAATTCGACTACATAGTGTTTTGGTAATTTATATTGTTACTTAAAGACTACATAGTTAGCATATCTGAAAGTTATATCATAGTAACGCTATCGGCTTCTTTATATAAAAACTAAAAAAGGAAAAGGAAACAACGTAAACCAACTTAAATGGAAACCAAGGAAGTTGGAATTTTTTTAAATGTAGTGCACCTACTACAATGCTTTTTAATTACAAAATCATACTATCACTACTGGAGTACAAAACATATTTACCAATCACCTTCAAGTCATTGTATGCTTCATAATACTGGGGATACCTTCCCCCTCTTCCCCCTAAAGCTTCTTGCCAAGTGTCTATCAGTATAAGAATCTTTTCCCTCACATTTAAATCCGGCTGCAACATCATATGAATATAAAAATTGTTTAATCTTTAATGAAAACAAACTGAAGATATATCATGAAAAACAAGAAAATTCCATACCTTCTTTTTTACAATTTTGACCATATCATGCAGGATATCCCGCTCAACGATTTGCTGAAACACATGTTCGCCACAGTTTTTGCTCAAAGTTTCAAGTACCTATTTAGAATTTACAAGATTTTTGAATAAAGTTGGTTCCTTGTAGAACATGTAACAAATATCTTTCATTGTATGATAGAAATATATGACAAAGTGAAATGAAAAGACTTACAAAAAGAGCTAGGAGCTGTATTTTTGGATTTTTACCCCCGAGCTTCTTCTTTAGTATCTTAAGAGCATCTTTTGTTTGCCTGCAAAATCAAGAAGATAACAGCAAGATGAAATTACTAAAGAAATCATCACCCCACAAAATGAAAACGATAATCAGCTTGTGAATTTCATCAACAAAGACTTTTTCAGCTACTTACATACCACATGGAAGAAACATAACTGTGGCTTCAATTAAATGTATTAAATGGAGAGAGAAAGCAATCATATCTGCTAATTAAATTAAAAGATTGAAAATAGAGTAGTTGTTATAATGGGAAAAAAAGAAGTTATACCCAGGATCCATATTGATAAGATCACATAGCTCGATATTAATGGCCCAATCAGGACCGATCAGCATATCACTTGTTGCCCTTTCAGCACATGCTGCTGCATTATTAGTATTTGACATTTCTTAATTTGTCTTTCACCAGTCTAAACCTGCGATGATCTCCCACAAACCCACAAAAATTAATATGTAAAACCCTAAAAAGTTCAAAAGTACATATCACAACTTCAAATTCGGAAAAAGGACAAAAGGAATTCACATCCATCCGAGAAATTTCGAGATTCAATTGAAGCCGTACAAAATTTTAAAATACCCAAAAACCTAATGGATCGAAGCTCCGAGGAATCAATAATATAATTCGAAAGGAAATAATCCCAGATAAATGATGCGATCGTTATCGATAACATCTAAGACCCGTTCAAACCCAAGTAGAAATACGATCAGAATTGGAAAAAGTATGAATCTGAAAAGAAATAGATAGCATCAGGGGATTGCTTACCCGTCAACAAGAATTATGTAACAAAGAAGACCAGAACAGGTTTTTCTTCTAGGAATTTAGTGTAGAAAAAGTAGATAGAGAATTTAGCAGAAATCAAGAGAGAAGGAGATGACTTTCTCTTCGGTCTGTGTATGCGTCACCCCTTCAATTTCCTTTTTCTTATACCATGCCGATATCCGGGTTTCAACTTCGGACCCAAATGAACGCCGATTTTACTTTACTTCTTTCGACTCAATTTAGGAAATATTATCATATTTTTGTTATGTTTTGGCATAAATATGTTATATATAATAAATGCTGCAATTATACATTTTTATGGAAATATGATCATAAGTAGGTTAAATTAAATATGTATTTATGTAATATTATTTAATGTTTACTTAATTTGTATAAACTTGATTTTTGATGGAAAATATATCACAATACATTATTTTAACATGAAAAAAACAATAAATTATCCTTTAGTTTTATATGATTGAAACATCATTGCATAACTAATCTCAATTACATAAATTGTAAACAAAATATTAAATTAATAAAAGAGGTTAATGTAGTTGGACAAATAAGAATTTAATCATTATTGATATGTCATTATATAATTGGTTCGCAAGTCATAATAAAAAAATTACTTAAATACTTTATATAAAAATCGTTTTATTACAAAACTAAAAAATATAGAATTTTGTTAAATAAATATCATTTAGTAATTTTGGTCATATTTTATTTGATATTTAAAATTTGAGTAAATTACTGAAATCGTTCCTATGGTTTTGTTAAAATTACACATTTAGTCCATGATTTTTATTTTACACTCGGACCGTCCTTGTGGTTTGATTTTGTCGCATTTTTCGTTCCAGTGGTTCGGTCAAAATCACACGTTTAGTCCCTAACTTTATATACGTAAGGGACGAAAAACGCAACAAAATCAAACCATAGGGACGATCTGAATGCAAAAGAAAAGTTAGGGATCAAACGTGCAATTTTAACCAAACTATAGAGACAATTTAAGTAATTTACTCTTAAAATTTAGATTTTTGTAGTTTTCTTTTCCTAAGTTTCGTTTGAACGAGTTGTTGAAAAATAAATAAGAAATAAGAATTAGGATGAAGAATGATTTTATTAAAAATGGGAGAGATAACTGGTCAACCATTCTCATGGGTTGACTTGGGCCGGCCAAACCCAAACCATACGCGCTTCTAATTGACTCGAATAATCCTTTTTCTTTTGTTCAGTTGGCAAGATGGAAAATATATATACAAATCTAGAATATCAGTTTTAGTTATAGGCTTACATTTTCATATTTAATAACAATCAGATAATTAATTACTTTATCTTTCTTTAACTTATAGTTTTATAAATTGCAGAATATCAGTTTTAAGACGAAAAAAAATTGACCAAAAAGTTTAGTGTTTTCTAATTGTAATTTCTAGTCCATGTTAATGGCATCACAATAGTTAAGTTATTTAATGATTTGATGGTTTTTAATTTTTTTTGTAAAAGCATCCACAATAGTTAAGCCATTTAATGAGTTGATGATTTTTTTATAAAGAATTTTATATATACCCTTCTTAAACATCAAAATATCATATTTATCCAACTTCATTTCTAAATATCATATTTACTCTTCATAAAATTTCAAAATATCATATATATCATTTTTAAACATCAAAATATCATATATATCCTTAAATATCAAAATATCATATATGTATTTTTTAAACATCAAAATATCAATGGTAATATCTAAAATATCTTCAATCTACAACATGTTAATAATCAACAACAAAAACTAAATAATCAAAATACACATTCCATAGAGAGTGTTGAAGATGAATCTTTTTGTTCGTCAAGAGTGCGACATTCCAACAATTTAGAAGTTAATATTTTATTATCATAGAAGTAAGGATAATATAGTTAAAAATTTTAATTATTATAATAATTCTAAGATATAAAAAATGATTATAAAATATAAAAAACATTATAAAAAAGGATTTTGGCAAATATGATATTTTGAAGGTTTATGATGGGTAAATATGATATTGAGAAATTAATATTTTACAGTTTAAGAGGAGTGTTAGGGCATGTCAAACCCAACAAATAAAGGGGTAAAATAACTCCTTAAACACTACTACTTCGTACTAGAAATGTAATACAAGGTAAGCAGGGTCGATCCACAGAGACACGGAACAAATGTTTATACCTTTTTGCGGAAGGTACAATAATGGTCACATAAATGGGGGGGGGGGGGGGGGGGGGTTGGTATGCAATGATTTAAACAAGTGGATAAAGCAATACGTAAATGATCAATTAAATAAAACAAATTCAGGATTTGTGATAACTACAACTCTATGCAAGACAATTTAACAATGTGATTCCAATGATGAAATAATATCTACTCAATTTCACCTAAGTTGGTACTTGAAAGTGTTAACAAGTTCTAACACTTCCCATTCACCAAGTTGTCAAATTCAAAACAAGCTCTTTGAAAATAACCTAACCTTCTAATTTAAGTCTAAACAAGCTCTTAGATAGAAATCAAAAGGTTGCAATAAGATTTATGTGAATGTTCCCAACAACACCCAATACTTCTCACAAGCTTGGGAGTTTAAGAGTATGTGAATAAGATTTACACTAAATTCATTCAATGGAAATCAATTTAGTGTTTGTTACTTAGTCCAATTCACAAAACAATTACGGATTTTGCAATTAGATAACTTGAATGACCTAACCCTAATTCAAATGGCCAATAAGAATTAAAATTAGAATCAAACATTCAATTGAAACAAAATCAAATTCACTAGGTAGGAATTGGAAGTAAACATCAAATCACATGATTGAAATCACAACTAAAAAGTCAAGACATAAAGTTGGAGAAACTAGGGTTTTAGCCACTCATGACTAGAACAAGATCACAAATCTAGAAAATGAAATTAAAGTTCTTACAAAATGAAATCAAATGTTCCCAATTGTTAATCAACTCCAAAATCCTCAAGAAATCGCCTTCTCTACTCCAAAATTCGACCCCCTAAGTAAAAAGTCGGTTCCCCCCTTTAAAAATGGTGAAAAACTGCTTTAAAACCCGCATTTACGTTTACACGGCCCGCGTAAATTAACACTGTCATTTACACGGCCCGCGTAAACGCAAAAATATACTGCGCAGAAATCTACGTTTACACGGCCCGCGTAAACGCAAGGCTTCCATTTACACGGCCGTGTAAACGTCTGTAAAGCCAAAATTCTCATTTCTTTGATATCTTGCTCCTCGGTGCTCCGCAAGTCCTGAAATTTTGTCCACAACTTTTATTTACCTCCTCCAACAATATCCTTCCTCCAAAAGTCCCTAAAATATCACAAAAGTATTTGAATGAAATTGCCTCATGAAAAATCCCGAAAAACATGCAAAATGCATGAGTTTAAGCCTATATGCAATGTATTTTTATGAAATAAAGCTACAAAATGGGTAGATGAAATGCACCTAACAAATCTCCCCAAGCTTAAACCTTTCTTGTCCTCAAGAAAGAACAAGAAAATTTAAACCGGAGAAAGTAAAATAAAAGAGAAGAAAAGAAAATCAAAGTTAAACTTTTTTTTTTTGAAACTTGATGCAAGAAATCAAAACAAACATGAAAAAATATATCCAACCCAATTAACCCTGTTTTGTACCATAGTTGAGAATATACCTGTCATGCCTTGAGTTAACTTGGCTTTAATCTCGAAATATTATATGATAATAGAGACAAGATTTTAGCCACTCCCTAGTACAACTCAACAGAATCAAAGATCACAACACTTATTCCTTTTCGATATCATCAAGTCAATTCTTGGAACAAATTATGGTCTTACTCTCGTTAAATTATATGTTACAAAACATGCTCAACCATCTTTGTTTCATAAAATATAACAATGTCCGATTCCAGCTATTTGTTGGTTAACAACAATCTTTTTCTGAAAAATATTTTCTAAAAATTCCCTAATATTTATCCAGATTGGTTACAAACTTCAAACCACTTACACCAGTCGAAGTAATTAACATTCTGTCCAATGTCATAAATTCAAATCCAAGTCCAAGGGAATCTTTTGACAGCCAAGTATTTTTCCTAAACACAATATTCCATTAAACTATAAACACAATTATATACAAACTTCTTAATTATATTTTTTTTTACAAATAAAGCTCATGGCTTTCTTTGAAATCCGTGTAACGGGCTTCCAACCAACACATCCAAATCAAATGACCTTAGTGTGCTACATTTAAAGAGATCCCTCGGGTTTACTTGCCCGAACCTCAAAGGCCACAGATTAGCTTTATTTGCTATTATTAAGTTCATGACTTTCTATGGAACCCGTGTAACGAACTTTCAACTCAATCAGTCCCAAACTATTCAGCTTTAGGTGATTAGGTGTAAAACACCCCTCAGAGTTTACTTGTTCGAATCCCAAAGGTCACAGATTAACTTAATAATAGTTTTTTTTTTTTTGTTTTTTTTAATGTAACACATATACAAATAACTAAGTTAACACATAACACTCTTATTAATTTATTTATTTGGCCAATTTCCTTATATTTCTGTCCTTGACTTTTCTATTGTGGGACATCTTACGGTCTATTACCGTGAGGACTTCTAAGACATGTTTCGGGGGACTAAATGTTAACATGCAAAAACCCGTAAGTATAGTTGAAATCTATATCCTCAAGCAGGGTATATAAAAGGGAATGAGTAGAAAGGACTTTTAAGAGCGCTGGAAGGCGGTACATTGAGATTTTGCATTCTTTTTATGAACTTTTGAATTTGGCATTTTAAGTTCAATTGAGCATTACTACTCATAAGACCGGTCATATGTCCCAAAGAATCGACTCATACCTGTTGTTATGCTCCAGTGTTGACAATCTTCTCATTTTCTGTTTTGCACAAGTAGCTTCGGGAGATCTGCTCGTGTGATTAAGTTGCTTTTAGATTTTTTTTTAATAAAAATAGCAAGTAAAATCTCAAGGCACATAACTCACTTACCATCTCAACTGTTTTGAGAAGATTTGGCTGCTTGAAATTGGATCAAAAAAAAAAATTTACTTCTTTTTTTTCAAGTTAAATGAAAATGCAAAAATTTAGATGCAAAATGCAAAAAGTATAATAAAAATAGAGTAGAAAGAAAATCTTTTTGGTTTTTGAAATTTTTTCTAAAAAATGACAAAGAAAAATAATGCAATGCAATGCAATATGTACAAAATTTACATGCAACCTACATGCAACGGGATAATGCATGGATGGATGCCCCTCCCCAAGCTTAAAATAAGCATCGTCC